GGCTAGGTCTACACTACAGCGGTGTTCCGACCTAAGATACGCAACTTCAGCTATGTGAATACCGTAGCTGAAGTTGCGTATTTTAGGTCGGCTTACCTGGTGGTGAGGACGGGAGAAAGCCGACCGCTGCCGCGCTGCCGCCGACTCCGCTGCCGCCTCTTGTCGAGGTGGATTTCCGGAGTCGACGGCAGAGCGATCAGGGATCGATTTTACCGCGTCCTCACGAGACGCGGTAAGTCGATCCCCGATAAACCGATTGCTACCCGCCGGATCGGCGGGTAGTGAAGACGTAGCCTTAAAAAATCCATGCTGGCTATTATGACGAGTTTTGTAATGTCTACAAAAGTACTTCCTGTGAAATCTTTAGAAACAAAAACTTATTAATTTGCCTGTGTGTGACTTTGGGAATTAATTTTAGGTGTGCAACGTCTGCTCTTCTTTCTGTTCCTGCTACCTCAGTTTCCCTAATATAACTATTTTAAGCAGGCTTCAAAGTTTGGTCTCTGCTGGAAGTAATTTAATTGCAGTGATAGTCCAAAATAGTTTTGGTCAGTGATCCGGAGTGTTTCCAGTCAAATTTCAAATTCTTCCTGAATTTCATGTTGTATTGTTAATTATAGTTCTTAAATACAACTGCAATCAGTCTTAAATGACTGACCACAGGCCCAACAAAAAATAGTTGCTTCGAAGAGGTGGTCTTTAATTACAGGTCAAACCGCATTATTGTAGAAACTATTAGGCTATGTTAAAATGGTTGTTTAGGACATGGGGTGGCTTATTGTATAATAAAAGGTCATCCTTAGTACAGGTCTCCCCCTCCTTGCATTGGCTTAGTTCATGAAACAGATGTAGGTATCTTTTTAACTTTTTTCATGTGTCTATTTTGTTATGTAAAAGCTGACTTTTTGTGCTTGCTCTCTTTCTCTCTCTCTCTCTCTCTCTCTCTTTAACAGCTGAAAGCTGATGTGGTTCCAAAGACAGCTGGTAAGAAAATGTTTTGAAAGTTTCATACTTTGAGATTTTAAGATTTAGGTTAGATTTGGGGGGGGAGGGGAAGGGAAGATGCATTTTCCCCTCCAGTTTCATTCAAAATTAAAGCTTTAGAGAAACTTTAACTAGCTCAATAGTTGGTTGAAAAATAGGAAAATATTAATGTATGTTTCATCACAAATTTTTTTAATTTTTTTCCCGACACAGTTGGGTTACCTTTCATGCACAGGCAAGGTAGTGATGTGTTTTGGTTACCAACACTGGACAAAAATGTTTAACAAAAAAAATCCCATGCACTTCTTTCACTGAAATCCAAAGCAACAGCAAACTGGAGGAATTGTGGAGTGGGGATGGTGTGGTTTGGGAGATTGGTAATGGGATATAGACTTTTTCCCTTTCACCTCTAAGCTGGTTTCAATCCTCCTACCCTGATAGTGATCAAAAGGTTTTCTTTGAGGGCTCTTCGATGACCCAAGTGAACTTGAAGTCTTTAAAGTATGATTTGAGGACTTGAGTAACTCAGCCAGAGGTTATAGGTCTGTTACAGGACTGGGTGGATGAGAATCTGTGGCCTGCCGTGTGTAGGTCAGACTGGATGATCATGATGGTCCCTTCTGACCTTAGTCTATGAGTTGGTTGTCTTGGTCTACTTCCTAGTAGACAAGTATCTGTGGGAAAAATACCACTTTCACAACTGGTAGCAAGAGCAAAGGTTTAAAAGGCATGGAGACTGAAATCTCACTCCTAGAGGGGTTATTTCAAACTGAGATTAAGGGCAAATCTAGACTACAAAATTAAATCGACCTAATTTTGATGTACAGCCACCTCAGTGATTGAATTGCTTTTGCATGCCCAAATTACTCTCCTTGTGCCAGCAGTGCGTGTCCTCACCAGGACCCCTTGCACTGATTTAACTGTCAGTGTGGGGCATTGTGGGATGGCTTCTGAAAGGCAGCAACAGTTGATGTAAGCAACACAGTGACTGCACTGACACTGCATCGGCCTAACTATGTAGACCAAAGCTCTACACCTCTCACAGATGTGGAGTTAAGTCACTGTAGCTGGCGAGTTACATCGGTGGGAGCTACGTTTTAGTTTAGATGCTTACAGAGTTAGGTTGAAGTAAGCTGCTTTCTGTCGACCTAACTGTAGTGCACTGTTCCCTCTAATTTTTCCCACACATATGTGGAATGAATTGGTGCACATAACAAAATTCATGTGGTGGGGGTGGGGGCTGAGGGGTTTGGAAAGTGGGAGGGGGACTCAGGGCTGGGGCAAAGGATTGGGGTGCAGGGGGGAGGTGAGGACTCCGGGGTGGGGCTGGGGATGAGGGACTCAGGGCTGGGGCAGAGGATTGGGGTGTGGAGGGTTGAGGGCTTTGGCTGGGGGTGTGGGCTCTGGGGTGGGGCTGGGGATGAAGGGTTTGGGGTGCAGGCTGCCTGGGGGCTACAGTGGGGAGAAAGGACTCCCCCCCACCCCCAGCTTTCTCTACCCTCAGCAGCACCTGGGCTGGGGGACGGAGGGAAAGAGGGGGCTCAGGGCTGCAGTCAGGGGAGAGGCACTTAGCTGTAGTGTAGACCAGGCCAAAAGAGTGCAAGTGAAATGAGAAACCTTGCCTTGCAGCTACCTATAATACTGCACAGTAGTGGGGGTAAACAAACTCTCTTTCATCAAAACTCTCTCATCAGCACCTTTCACTAATACAAATCTCTCAAGCATGAACAATAGAAGAATTAAAAAAAATAAATAGGACTTTATATTCCTGTTGGGCACTAAACTTTTTTAAAGAATGTGCATTAAACGTTTTTTAAAAAACACTGATGTGGGACCTAAATTACCTGCCAGTTTATTTTAATTTGGTTGTAGGGTACTGTATAGTGCTGATGTTACATGATAGTAGTTCATATATGTTTTTGTTTTACCAGAAAATTTCAGAGCTCTTTGTACCGGTGAAAAGGGTTTCGGGTATAAAGGATCCACCTTTCACAGAGTGATTCCTTTATTTATGTGCCAGGTAATGTAACCTTTAGTATTTTCACCAACTTTTATTTTGGGAAACATATTATAACGGATCTATTATACTGAATTCTGATATCTGGTTAAGAATGATTTTTATTTGCATTAGAACACAAGTTTAACTTTTAAGTAGTTTTGCTGTGTAACCTCTTAACAGCAGAAGGAAGATATGACAATGTGCCTTGCATTTCTGATCCTGTTGCTATGGCTGTTGTGTAGCACATGGGTTTGTACAACTAAATGCAAATGCCGCTCAGACTGCTTTAGAAATCCTGACTTCGGGAGCTGTGCTTTTGTGTAGTGATGTATTTTAACAAGTGGTGTGCTCAGTAAAATGGCTCTTGGTTAGGAAAACAGTCTGTGTGTAGAATTATAATCAGTGTAAAGTAGCACATATGAGATAAGAGAACAACGTACCCGTTCTTTCTTTGCTGACATCATCTTGTTATATTTGCTGTTGATATATAGGCATTTAAAAGAAAACAATCAGAGGTTTCCTATGAACACCTCACCTGGGGAAAAAAGAACACCTACTGTGTTTTCCAAGTAAATAGGCTGACTCACTAAAAGACTACTTGGTGTCTTAAGAGATTTTGAATGTGGCAATTACTTCTAATTTGAAGACTGAATCATTCTAAACTGCTATAAAGTATACACAAACATGACAGTGATCCTGTTTAAAATAAAGTGTATATATGCTTTTGGAAGATAAATTAATCACCTATCTGTTTTGTATGGATGCTGTATTAACATTCCATGATGCTGTGCATGACAGTAGGGGTTTGTTCCATTGCACTTGGACAAAATTCCCCCCGCCCCCAATTGCTGCAGTGTACTGGATAATTGGTTGCTTTCTCTCACCCCAACGCAGGCTGCATTTCAACAGTAGTGTATTTATAGAGTTTTTGAATGGCTTTGATTTATTTGAGGTGAAAGGCTTTATAAACATGTAAATAATTGCTGTTATTAATTGATAACCTTGGAGGCACTTGCATCTTGAGCAAAAAACTGCATTTAAAATTTAAAAAATACCAAAAAGCAAATGTTCTTATGTTGTCCTACTTTTGATAAGGGAAAGTGGACAAATATGCTGCAGTAGACTGACTTTTTTTTTGAAAATACATGTTGGATCTTTTGGTGGTGGTGGAGAAGAAGCAAGGTCTAGACTCTGACCTGGGGTCAGGAACTTGAAAATATTGATTGCTGCTCCACCACTAACTTACATAGTTCTATCCAAATCATATAGTCCTTATTGCCTCTGTTTGCCTATTTGTAAAACAGGAAAATTAGTTGCCTGTCTCTCAAGTGTTGAGATGATGAGTTAGTGTTTGTAAAGTGCTCTGTATTTGTTACAGATGTGTAACTGCTGCTATATGCTTCAAGGCCGATATAATAATTCTAGGACAATTTTCCTTTTAACATTCTAAAGCTGGTGGAAATAGTGAAGGCCATTCCACTTGTAGGAGGTGCAGTGTTAGTGTGATGCAGCCTGATGAATACACCTAATTAAAGGTTGCCATGTACTTTACTTTGCAATTCAAATGCCTCTTGATGATACACAGCACGTAAAGCATGCTTCTGGGATTACACAAGAATTGCCACACTATTATGTAAAGCACAACTTCGGGCTGCTCAAGGCAATCTTGAAAATGTGAATGTCATACACAATATCTTATGATTCCAAAGAACATAAGAGCTACCATACTGGGTTAGACTATGGTCCGTCTTGCCCAGTATTATGTCTCCAATAGTGTCCTGTGCCAGAGCTTTAGGGGAGATTTGCAGAGCAATTCTAAAGTGATCCACCCCTGTCTTCCACTCCCAGCTTCTGGTAGTCAGAGGTTTTAGACCTGTCCCAAGCATGGAGTGGCATCTGACCATCTTGGCTAATAGCAATTGATGGACCTATTTCTCCATGAACTTTTCCAATCCTTTTTTGAACCCAGTTATACTTATGGCCATCACAACATCTTGTGGCAATGAGTTCTATGGGTTAGTTGTTTGTTGTGTAAAAAAGTACCTCCTCTTACTTGTATTCTACCTGCCACCTTTTAATTTTATCAGGTGACCCCAGTAAATAACACTTCTCTATTCACTTTTTCCACACTTTTCATAATTTTATAGACCCCTATCATATCCCCTCTTAGTCATCCCTCTTCTAAGATGAAGTGCTCTAATCTTTTTAAGTCTCTGCTTATATGGAAGCTGTTCCATACCCTTGATCATCTTTGTTGCCCTTCTCTGAACCTTGTCCAGTCTATCGTATCCTTTTTGAGATGGGTTTTAAAGTACGGGACACAGTATTCAAGGTGTTGGCACACCATGGATTTATATAGTGGCATTATGATATTTTCTGACTTATTTTCTATCCCTTTCCTAATAGTTCCTAACATTGTTTGCAAGGATTAGCTTTCATTTGCAGCAGTGTGCTTGGCCCTGTACATACATAAGAAGTCTCAGTCTGTGTCTCAAGGAACGTTCAGACTATGGTAGTTACAAGGCAGATAAAACAGGTCAGATAGATGACATGTCAGGTGATCCTATGAATTAGGATTAATTGCCTAACAATTTTTGTCCTGTAAAAGAAAAGCTATCGGGGGCCTGATCCTGCTGTCTCTACGAAAACTCCCATTCAGCTCCGAGCGTGACTAGAATCAGATCTTCTTTCCAAATTTAAAACTACAAAAGCAAAATGTTTGGATTAAGATTCCCACAGTATCTGAATCTCTTCCATTAAGGGTAGGAAGTCTGCCAATACTGCATAATCACCAGGTGAATCTTCAGTACCTCTGTATTGAAGTGGTGAATAAAATATCCATTGGGGACCTTCTTGCCTGCAAAGTTATCCTAATTGTGAACTCAACTGGAAAAAGTGAGTGAAAGTTTATAAAATTGTTACAAGAACCTATAACAAATGATGAGAAGACTTTTTTGGGGAAATTATCAGAAGCAGCTGTCCGACAACTGCTGACTGAGAAATGGGCAGACAGGACAGGAGCAAGGTATATGATCCTTGCTGCCACCCCCATCATTTCCTGGTACTCTGGGATCCACCACATCACTGAGCCTTCATCATCCTAATCCTGACCAGACCAAGCCAGAGAGAGGGGGACCCAGATGACATAGCCACCTTCAGTGGCTCTGGCTAACTGGGATGTGAGACTTTGCCACCGATCCCCACTCTCACACGTGTCTTTTTTCTTCCCCACTTTATTTCTTCTCTTTCCTAACCCTCTCCTTTTGCCTTCTGTCTAATAAGGGTCAATGCTGGCACGAGTTTCCCAGGTCCCAGAGTGGCTAATAAGACCAAGTGCCATGTATTTGTTTTTCCAGCAGTGAGGTAGCAAGTAAACATTGACCCACCCAAGACAGAAGCTGTATTTTCTATCTTTGCTATTCTTTTCTCTCCCATCTTGTGTGTGTTTCTTATTTTGTCTTCTAGGAAACAGGACTGGGATTTTAACAAAAACAGCACAAGCCTATCTCAATTAACTTTTTTCCCCCAAAAAGGACAGTTATTTCCATCTTTAATACCATCTAAAAAACTGTCGAACGATAGTTTTGGTTTTTTCCCTTTAAGGACTCTCTACAGCTAAAGGGAACAAAGATGTTAAAATGAAAGCGCAACTTAATACTTTATTTCAAATGTGTTAACTGTTTTCCTTCCTTTCTATATCTTTAATAAAAGCTTTAAAATTTTTAATCATGTGTTTGCTGTGGTACTAAGCAGGATGAGGTCTCTGTATACCAAAGCCTGAACCTTGCTTAATGTTGTTTAATGTTGGATGGTGACAGGGTCATATTAACTCCTTTGGGCCCGTATATTCCATGTAAATTTAATTACAAAAGTGGGTATATTTTTAATAGCACCCATTCTAGTATAAAATGCAACCTGTACATTAGTAAAGTTAAAAACCACTTATGTTTCAGGCTGGGGACTTTACCAACCACAATGGCACAGGAGGAAAATCCATTTATGGCAGTCGATTTCCAGATGAAAATTTCATACTTAAGCATGTTGGACCTGGTAAATAAACGTATTCCTCTTCCCTTCTGCTGAGTAACCTATAATGATTGTTACCTGTAGAAAATGTCATTTTAAGGAGCACATATTTGAGGTGGGTGAGGTACTTGATCGTTACAAAAAGGTCATTGAGGTGGTGTCGAAGTGGTGAGGTGTTACTAGTTCAACTGTGCTAGTATACAGTGATCATGTAGACCGCCTCTGATGGGTGACAGTCAGATCATCACACCTATTTCTTGCAGTTTGCTTTAAGTGGCTGCTATGCAAATTATCATAGCCTAACGTGATTATGTTCTGTTTTATGTTTACAAACTCCCAAATGTGGAACAACTTTTTGTAATGGAATGGAATTTGGCTAAGTTTTCTGTTTTGTGAATCTCCTGACTTGAATTTTTACGCAGAGTGAAATGAAGTGGTCGTGGGTCTATCTGACTCGTCACCATGGTGTTGGCTGTCCACCGGCTAGATGGTGTGGAAGGGAGCACAAAAGCTTTTAGCCAAAAGATCAGTTATACCAACAGACCAATTATAACCAACTATAGCCAAAAGAGCAGGTGGATGTTGGGGGTGGCGGGGGGGGAAGAACCCAGTCATCTAGGAACATACACTTAGGAAATGTCTTTGCAATTCTAACATATCAGACCAGACCATTCCATTTATCATGGGGACCAAGTTGGTGTTGGTTTTCCCTATTTACCATGCAAGCCACAATAGACGTTACAAGGTAGGAGCCACCTTCAGGGTCCCAATGGCAGATGAACTAGCCCCATACTACCATTGCTGGAGGAGAGAGGACAGGCGAAGGAAAGGGTGGGACATTAGCAGTCAGGTTGAAGCAACATGCCTCTCCCCTATTCCGCATCTCTACTAGCCTTACGTATGCAAAGGAAAAGTGCATTTTCTCTGCAGCACATTTTTCAGATGAATACATTGCTAAAACATTCATGTTTTTGCAGGTATACTCTCAATGGCCAATGCAGGACCCAATACAAATGGGTCTCAGTTCTTCATTTGCACTGCCAAAACTGACTGGTAAGTTTTCCATAGAAATACATGTGGTAACACTTAACCCATGGGTCTGCAGTTCTTAAAAATGTATCTACATTAATTGCTTTGTCATTACAAGCCTAGCAGTTCTGCAGAAAAGGACCTGGGGATTACAGTGGACGAGAAGCTGGATATGAGTCAGCAGTGTGCCCTCGTTGCCAAGAAGGCTAATGGACTTCATATTGGGCCTCATTAGTAGCAGCATTGCCAGCAGATCGAGGGAGCTGATTATTCCCCTCTATTCGGCACTGGTGAGGCCACATCTGGAGTATTGCGTCCAGTTTTGGGCCCTCCACTACAGAGAGGCTGTGGACAAATTGGAGAGAGAGTCCAGCGGAGGACAACGAAAATGATTAGGGGGCTGGGGTACATGACTTACAAGGAGCGGCTGAGGGAACTGGTCTTGTTTAGTCTGCAGAAGAGAAGAGTGAGGGGGGGTTTGATAGCAGCCTTCAACTACCTGAAGTGGGGTTCCGAAGAGGCTGGAGCTTGGCTGTTCACAGTGGTGGCAGATGACAGAACAAGGAGCAATGGTCTCAAGTTGCAGTGAGGGAAGTCTAGGTTGGATATTAGGAAACACTATTTCACTAGGAGGGTGGTGAAGCACTGGAATGGGTTACCTAGGGAGGTGGTGGAATCTCCATCCATAGAGGTTTTTAAGGCCTGGCTCGACAAAGCCCTGGCTGGGATGATTTAGTTGGTGCTGGTCCTGCTTTGAGCAGGAGGTTGGACTAGATGACCTCCTGAGGTCTCTTCCAACCCTAATCTTCTATGATTCTATGATTTGGGGAGGTTGGAGGAAACTGAAGACATAAGGGAGATAAATCAAACAGTTGATGTTGCTCTGTGCATTTGAATGGGTCCAATAAGATGGGGTTTTTTTTCTATTCTAAAATGAAGGCATCATGTTGATTTTTATTCTCATTTTCTTTGGATGCAGTAGTGTACCTCCTGCTGTTTCCAGCATACTTCAGCAATACCTCCCTCATTGCTGGAACAAGCCTTTGCTTTTTCCAAGTCCAAAAATGATTAGCATTGGTAGAGCAGGGTGAAGCCATAGGTCAGGAGTGGCAATTAAGAAAAGAGAGTCAGCCTTAACCAAATATTTACCTTGTGAGTTGTGACCTTAAATTTCTCCATCACTTCCTAGGAAATATTCTGTTTGAGCCAGAAGCTCTAAACATAAGTTAATGGGATGAACATAGGTGGAGGACTGCTCTCCATTGCATGTTTAAAAAGTTTACTTTTTTTAACTTCTAAAGAAATTACAAGTGATTCTGGACTCTGGGACTACTTCACTAAGCATTATGTGAGTTAGAAAATATAAAACCTTGGTTAGCTGAAGGTTCATGCATCTTCCCCTCCCACCCCCGCCACATAATTAAATAATCTTGTAAGTGTATTGAGACATCCTACAAAACTGCAGGACAGTAATGAATGCAATGTATGCTTTCCCCTCCCCTCCATGCGAAAAGATTCCATGAACAAATTCTCACTGTAGCCCCATGATGTATAGAATGCTTACTGACAAGTGGAGATAGAAAGGTTAAGTGATTTGGTCAATCCTAGGGCCTCCAGTCTCCCAGACCTGTTTGGTTCACTATACACCATACTGCCCTACAGTCCCTAAAGGCCTGATCCAGATTGAATTGTACTCAAGAGAGACGTCTGTTGACTTCAGTGAGCTTTGGATTAGCCCCACTTAGAACAACCTTTGTTCAGATAGCCCTCTCTACTGCTCTTGCCATCTGGAACACATTTTCTGTAGCTCTCTGCCTCATTATGTCAGTACGTTTTGCTCCAATATTTAAGACATTCTCCTTGCCCACCCTCCCCAACTATACCACTTCCCTTCTATATCCATCTTCCTCTGCTATTGGTACTTAAGGCTTGCAACCTGACATGCTTTACGTTTTTAAGTAATAGGCACTACGCAAGATAAGGTCATTATGCTGCTAACCTTTATTCATGTGAGGAAGGGCCTGTAGGATCAGGTCCTAAAGCTGTATTGTATTTTACTTTTTTGGTAACTAGAGTTGGTCAGAATGTCATCAGCTAGTCTGAATATGCATTCATATTCAGCATCCCCCTTACTTTCAGTGTGTATTTAGTTTAATATTGCTTTTACTTACACGTATTTATTATTTATTACAGGCTAGATGGAAAACATGTTGTGTTTGGCCATGTAAAGGAAGGAATGGAAGTTGTGAAAAAAATCGAGAGCTTTGGCTCCAAGAATGGAAAGACCTCAAAGAAGATTGTCATTACTGACTGTGGTCAGCTGTCGTAACCCCACTGCCTGTAACTCAGGAGAACTTAGATACTGTGAAAAAGAAAAATGAGGAAGAAGTATATCTGATTTCACTTTTAGGGTTGTTAATTGCTGATGTGAAAATATATTTATTTCTGTTCAAGATAATTCATTGAAGGTACTATGATCAGGGACAGTAGAAATGTGAGGAATTCTAGTTAAAAATGTATTCAACTTATTGTGGGTAGGGTCTAGAGAGTCCACATTTTCTATCTAACTTGGTCCAACTTTTACATTGTTGTATAGTATTATTTACTAAGAACAATGAGCATTTTCTTAAAATATGTATTAGCGTGTTAAACTAAACTACCAAAATAGAGGCTGTCAGGCCAAGTTTGATAGAGAACCCCATAGTATCCTGCAAGCTGAAGTGCAGTCATTCAACACTGTATTTGGCAGCAATATGAATATTAATTTTGTCATGTGTTACAAGGAACATTGTGAGCCTTATCAGAATATTTGAAAGATTACCTTGTTGTCCACTTGGCTAGTCAGTGTTTGCACCCTTCTCTATTTCAAATGAATGTAAAGTTAGTGTTTGATAAATACATTCAGGTACAGGGGATAAATTCATTAGCTGGATATTTCAGGCTGTAGGATCAACAGTGAAATAATTAAGGATGTTGCATTTAAACTTTTGTAAATTGGGGTTAAAATGCTTCATGAAGATGAAATAAAGAATGCTGCCTTTCCTTTGGTGCTATGTTTCATTCCCGTCTGGTTGCAGACTTGAAGTTGTATTGATAAAGCAAATTAGTTAATGCTCTCAAGGCTATCTCTGCAACCAGAAGGGCTAGAATCTTCTTTCTGCAAAAGATGACAAAACTTACAACGCAACTTAAATACATGGATTTCTATTGTCTTGGACCATTGCTAATTCTTCAACGGGGGGGGGGGGGAAACTTAAGACATAAAGTATCTTGTATCTAAGTTAATTGATCTTAACTTTTTGCTTGACATTATATGAAACTGAGTTGGTGGGCATACTACCACAGCTCCAGTCGTTTACTTGATAGAATCAAGAGATAACCAGAACTGATCAAGTGACTTTTTTTGTACTGTAACTGCAAACTAACCTGCAGTGCAGCTATACTCTGAAACCTGACTAGGTAAAAATAGCAGCAGATTTGTTCCCTGTGTGTATTCAGAATGCTATCCCAAATGACAAATAAGTTTTACTGCTTTTTGTTTGTTAGCCCATCAGAGCCAATTCATCTTGGGGATTAGCTGGATTCCGTTTCTTCTGGTGCATCATCAACAGAATTACTAATTTAAAATTGGTTACTCAGTGTAACTGAGGCCTGGTTTAATCTGCAGAACCATTATTACTGGGCTTGATGTGTGAGAAGGAAAGAATACAGATGGACTGATGGGAGTCCAGCAAGAGTTTTCAGGACTGGCAGTTAGAAAATACATCTTTTCACTTGTAAACTGTGTACATCTGATAGGGAAGCATTGAGAAATAATGATGATAAAACCTTATAATGACATTTTTAGAGTAACTTAAACTGCTAAATATATATGTATTAGTGGTGGAAGAAGCACCTTGGTGGCTGGTACAGTAATTATTCAGGAAATAAAAATAAAATGTGAAGGCTCTTTCCAAATGTGAGTTAACGTCCATCATATAGAACAACAGTATGCAAGTTTAAAATGTATCTTGCACTAGATCAATGTCTTTTTAGCTAATTGAAGATTACATACATTTGTGTATGTGTGTGATGGAATTTCAAGTATAATTTCACAGAAAATGGACTGAACAGCTTTTTATTATAGTTCCACTATTGATTTTTCTTTTGAAATGTTTTTTAAATATTAATTTTAACTGTTTTAGCTAATGTTGAATTTTGACATAAAATATTTTATGTTCCCTTCATTTGTATGTGGAAAATCATTAAATAAATTTTTTTGGTTTAAAAAAGTGTCTGTTTCTTATGTGAGTAGAATGTTGCCCATTGATTGAAAACTGGCATGTCAACAGCTGAAATATCACTGCATTGATTGTTTTACTCAGGCTGCACTATTCTCTGAAATTCCCCTTTGTCATATGGTCTATATCAATGGTCCTCAGAGCTGCCACTTCTTCATTTAGTAGATACTGAGGGCCACAAAACTGGTTGTAGTCAGCAAGTCAAACTTTTATGATCGTCTTACACTGGCAAGATAGCTCTTCTAAAATGGGTTAATATGTGCTTGTGGAGATTAAGGCCAGAAGGGATCATCTGGCCTGATCTGGATAACACAAGACACAAAATTTCACTGTTATCCCTGTACTGAGCTCAATAACTTCTGTTTGACTAAAGCATAACTTCCAGAAAGGCCTCCAATATTGATTTGAAGATATCAAGAGATGGAGAATCCATAACTTCCCCTGGCAATTTGTTCCAGTAATTAATTTTTATTTTGTTTGTTTAAACAAGTGCCTTCTTTCTAATTTGAAATTTGTCTGATTTTTAGCTTCCGGTCATTAGTGGTTTGCATACCTTTCTCCGCTAGATTAAAGAGATCTAGTATCTTTTTCCCTGTGAAGGTACTTATACACTGTAATACACTTATACACCGTGAAGGCACTTATACACCTCTTAATGTTTTTTGACACAGCACTCAATCTTGTTTAGTTTATCTCAATGGAGGGAATTTTCACTAGCCTTCAAATCATTTGTTTTTTTGAACAGTCTTCAATTTTTCAATATCCTCTTTAAAATATGGACTCCAGAACTTGATGCAGTATTCCACTATCTGTCTCTCACTACTGTCATATGAAGAGGTAAAATCACCTTCCTGGTCCTAGTTCTGTTTATACATCCACAGATTGCATTAGCCCTTTTTGCCACAGTACTCCACTGGAAGGTCACGTGGGAGTTGCTTGTCTAGTATGACCCCCTAATCCTTTTTGGAGTCATTGCTTCTCAGGATAAAGTTACCCTTCCTGTAAGTCTGAGCTACATTTCTTGTTCCTAGAGGAATAACTGCATTTGGCTGCATTAAAACACATTTTGTTTGAGAGGGCCTACCTTACCAAGCGATCACTGTATGACTGCCCTGTCATCGTTATTTATAATTTTCCCAATCTTTGTGTCATCTGCAAATTTTATCAGCAGTGATTATATGTTTACTTCTGAATCCCAGGCCTAGTACTAATCACTGCTGAATCCCACTAGAAACAATTATTCAGGGATGATTCCCCATTGTCTGCTACTACTTTTTTGAGATTTGTCAGTTAGCCAGTTCTTAATGCTTTTAAAATGGAATCATAGAATTGTAGGACTGGAAGGGACCTCGAGAGGTCATCTTGTCCAGTCCCCTGCACTCAAGGCAGGACTAAGTATTATTTAGACCATCCCTGACAGGTGTTTGTCTAACCTGCTCTTAAAAATCTCCAATGATGGAGAATCCACAACCTCCCTAGGCAATTTATTCCAGTGTTTAACCACCCTGACAGGAAGTTTATCCTAATGTCCAGCCTAAACCACCCTGGCTGCCATTTAAATCTATTGCTTCTTGTCCTATCCTCAGAGGTTAAGTAGAACAATTTTTCTCCCTCCTCCTTGTAACATCCTTTTATGTACTTGGAAACTGTTATCATGTCCCCCCGTCTTCTGTTCTCCAGACTAAACAAACCCTTTTTTTGCAATCTTCCCTCAGAGGTCATGTTTTGTAGACCTTTAATAATGGTTTCTCTTCTCTGGACTTTCTCCCATTTGTCCATATCTTTCCTGAAACGTGGCGCCCAGAACTGGACACAGTACTCCAGTTGAGGAGTAATCAGCGCGGAGTAGAGTGGAAGAATTACTTCTTGTGTCTTGCTTGAAACACTCCTGCTAATACATCCCAGAATGATGTTTGCTTTTTTTGCAACAGTGTTACACTGTTGACTCATATTTAGCTTGTGATCCACTATGACCCTGAGATCCCTTTCTGCAGTACTCCTTCCTAGGCAGTCATTTCCCATTTTGTATGTGGGCAACTGATTGGTCCTTCCTAAATGGAGTACTTTGCATTTGTCCTTATTGAATTTCATCCTATTCACTTCAGACCATTTCTCCATTTTGGCCAGATTGTTTCAAATCCTATCCTCCAAAGCATTTCAATCTCTCCCAGCTTGGTTTTGTCTGAAAACTTTAAGTGCACTCTCTATGCCATTATCTAAATCATTGATGAAGATATTGAACAGAAAGGGACCCAGAACTGATCCCTGCAGGCCCCCACCTGACATGCCCTTCCAGCTTGACTGTGAACCACTGATAACTACTCTCTGGGAGGGTTTTCCAATCAGTTATACACCCATCTTCTAGTAGCTCCATCTAGGTTGTATTTCCCTAGTTTGTTTGAGAAGATCATGTGAGATAGTATCAAAAGCCTTACTAAAATCAAGATATACCACATCACTATGTTAGACATCTAATTGCTTGTAACCCTTTTGGTGAAAACTGAAACAAGTCATTTAGCACTTGTGTTATTTCCTCATTTTCTGTTACTGTCTCTCTCCCTGCCCCCCCACCCCCATTGAGTAATGGGGCCTACCCTATCCTTGGTCTTCCTCTTGCTTCTAATGTATTTGTAGAATGTTTTCTTGTTACCCTTTGCCTCTAGCCAGTTTGATCTTGTTTTTTGCCTTGCCCTGTCTAATTTTGTCCCTACATGGGTATGTTTTGTTTATATTTATTCTTTGTAATTTGACCTAGTTTCCACTTTTTATAGGACTCTCTTTTGAGTTTCAGGTCATTGAAGATCTCCTGGTTAAGCCAGGGTGGTCTCTTGCCATACTTCCTATCTTTCCTACAAAGTGGGATAGTTTGCTCTTGATAAGGTCTCTTTGAAAAAGGGCCAACTCCCTTGAACTGTTTTTCTCCTTAGACTTGCTTCCCATGGGATCTTACCTACCAACTTCCGGAGTTTGCTAAAGTCTGCCTTCTTGAAATCCATGTGCTTTATTGATGTAGTGCTAATTTTTTAATCCACCATGTGGTACACCTTACAAAACACCTTAAAAA